TAAACTGAAGAAGCATGCATCCATCTGGTGGGAAAATATAAAGAAGAAACATAAGCTGGAAGGCCGAAGCAAGATAAAGACGTGAGAGAAAATGAAAAGAGAATTCACACATAAGTTTCTTCCTGACCACTACTATCAAGATAATTTTATTAAGCTTTATAATTTACGCCAGGATTCTAAGATAGTAGGGGAGTATACTAGAGAATTAGATTTGTTGATAATGAAATGCGATATACAAGAAAAGAAAGAACAAACAATTGCTAGATTTCTTGGAGGGCTAAATTCTGAAATTTCCTAGCTTGTCCAACTACAATAGTATTGGACCTGGACGATGTCATCAATTTAGCCATTCGAGTGAAAAAGAAACTTCCTAAAAGATCAATTTTCCAACCATCATCCTCACGAAGCTCTTTTACTCCTCGCAAAACTCAATTATCGCAACCTACAGCTCCAAACAAAACACTTTCCAACCCTGTTAAAGACACTAGCCCTAAAGAACCAATCCAATCCAAACCGCCCAGATGTTTCAAATGCACATTGCTTCCAATTGTCCAAATCGAAGAGTTTTCACTATCATTGAAAGAAAGGCCTACGAAGCATCTAAAGAAGAACCTGAATTCTACCAAAATGATTTCAATAGTCCTCCAGTGTTTGATGAAAAGTTGACCCCAGCAGATCATGGAGAAGCCTTAGTGGTTAGACGCAGTCTTGACATAGCAGCCGTTAGAGAAGAACCATGGATGAGACACAATATATTCCACACTTGATGCACCACTCAAGGTAAAATTTGTGATGTCATCATCGATAGTGGAAGTTGTGAAAATGTTGTGTCTAGCTACATGGTGGAGAAATTGAATCTTCTACTGATGTTCATCCACATTCCTACAAGCTACAATGGCTGAATAAGGGTAGTGAAGTCAAGGTTAGTCAACGTTGCCTAGTTGCTTTCTCAATTAGACAAAAATATTAAAATGAAGTTTGGTGTGACGTCCTTCCCATGGATGCCTGCCACCTCTTATTAGGACATCCATGGCAATACGATCAGAAGATTGTGTATGATGAGTTTAAGAATACCTACTCATTCGTCAAAGATAAAGTGAGAATTAAGTTGACTCCATTAGGTCTAGAAGAAGTCAACCCAACTTCACGCAAAGCCAAACTAATTGTGTCCCTAATCCTTAAACCACAACTTAAGATGATGCAAGAAGAATCTCAATCAATAAACTTATTACTCATGGTTGAACAAAATATTGGAGCACCTATTCCACAAGAAATAGAAAAACTCTTTGCAGAATACCCAGATGTGGTACTTGAAGAAATTTCTCCTGGTTTATCACCTATAAGGGACATCCAGCATGTCATCAACTTCATCCCAGGAGTTGTTATCCCAAACAAACTTGCTTATAGGATGAGTCCACATGAACATGTTGAAGTACAACGTCAAGTAGAGGATCTTCTCAAAAAAGGATTGATCCAGAAGAGTGTCAGTTTGTGTGTAGTCCTTGTCATATTGGTGCCCAAGAAAGATGGAAGTTGAAGAATGTGCATGGATAGTCGAGTCGTGAATAAGATTACTATAAAGTATCGATTCCCGATTCTATGACTCGATATGCTAGACTAACTACATGGTACAATCATATTCTCGAAGATTGACCTTCGCAGTGGCTATAATTAGATTAGACTACGTTCTGGTGATGAGTGAATGACCACTTTCAAGACAAGAGATGGGCTATATGAGTGGACTGTCATACTGTTTGGCTTATCCAATGCACTTAGCTCCTTCATGCGCTTGATGAATCAAGTACTACGCTCTTTCATTAGAAAGTTTGTAGTTATTTATTTCGACGATGTTTTAATCTATAACAAAAGCAAGGGAGAACACTTAGACCATATTCTCCAAGTGTTGGGCGTTTTTCCGGAAGCAGAAGTTGTATGCTAACTTCAAAAAGTGCACCTTCTTGACCAATGAAGTAAATTTTCTGGGCTACATCATTACGGGTGAAGGTGTCAAGGTTGATCCTAGCAAGGTTGAAGCAATCATCAGCTGGCCTACCCCTAACTCTGTGCAAGAAGTACGAAGCTTTCATGGATTAGCCTCGTTCTATTGAAGATCCATAAAGAATTTTAGCTCCATTGCTGCCCTGCTTACAAATTGTATTAAAAGAGATAAATTTCAATTGTCAGAACGCACTCAAAATAATTTTGTTGAGTTGAAGATACGACCAATTGAAGCTCCAATTTTAGCACTTTCTAACTTTGATCAGGTGTTTGAAGTAAGCTATGATGCTTTTAATATTGGCATTGGCGTCGTTCTCAGTCAAGAAGCCTATTGCTTTCTTTAGTGAGAAGTTTAATGATGCTAAACTCAAATACTCCACCTATGACAAAGGGTTCTATGCCGTTGTGCAATGCATGCAACGTTGGAGTCACTATCTGCTTCCTAAGGAATTAATCCTTTACACAGATCATGAAGCCTTGAAATACTTGAATTCTCAACAAAAGATTAGTCGTAGACATGCATCGTGGAGTGAGTTCCTTCAAGTCTATCCATTTCTACTTAAACACAAAATCTGGGGTTCAAAACAATGTAGCAGATGCGCTAAGTCAACGACGTGCATTACTATCTATAATGTAGATGAAGGTAGTAGGCTTTGAGATTATTAAAGAATTGTATCAAGATGATCTAGATTTCCACAACATTTGGAGCTCTACAGAAAGTCAACATTACCATCAACAACAAGGATTCTTATTCAAAAACAATGTCTTGTATATTCCCCAATGCTCCTTAAGAGAAGCAATCATTTGGGAAGCACATGACTGAGGATTAGCCAGACACCTTGGACGAGATAAGACAATAGTCTTAGTTAAGGAAAACTTCTATTGGCCGAGACTTGAGAGAGATATTATTTGTCACATTCAAAGGTGTCAAATATGTTAGCTTACCAAGTCCAAAAGCTAAAACTATGGGCTATACCTACCTTTTCCAGTACCAATTGCACCATGGGAAGATATCGGCATGGATTTCGTGCTAGGATTACCTCGTACACGATGACAGAAGGACTCAATAATGGTGGTCATGGACCGGTTCTCTAAAATGACCCATTTCATACCTTGCCAAAAGACCAATGATGTTGTTCACATTACCGATCTGTTCTTCAAGGAGATTGTTCGACTGTATGAAATTCCCAAAACCATCACTTTGGATAGAGATGTCAAATTCTTAAGCCATTTTTGGAGGACTCTATGAAAGAAGATGGGCACTAAACTGCAGTTCAGCAGTGCTAGCCACCCCTAGACTGACGAACAAACAGAGGCAATAAATAGACTTCTGGGAAATCTACTACGAAACTTTGTTCAGAAGAATCTTCGACAATGGGATCTTATCTTACCCCAAGTTGAGTTCACCTACAACAATTCCAGTAATCCTGTTACTGGAAAATGTCCATTTGAGGTCGTGTATGGTACTAGACCTCTTAGCCCATTGGACTTGATCCCTATTCCCACTAGTAACCAGTTCAGTGCCAATGCTGACCAAAGAGCAAAGGAGATTAAAAAGCTTTATGAGCAAGTTCGAGCACAAATTGAGAAGCAAAACACCAAGTATAAAACTCAACGAGATAAGCATCAGAGACATGCTATTTTCAAGGAAAGAGATTTGGTATGTATTCATTTGCATAAGGATATATTTCCAAAGAAGCAACATGCTAAACTGTCTCCAAGAGCATATGAACCGTTTTGAGTAGTACAAAAGATAAATGACAATGCCTATAAGATAGAACTGTCTGATTCATACGGAGTTTCTACTACATTCAACGTTGCAGATCTATCGCCTTACTATGAAGATGATGCTTAGACTCGAGGACGAGTCTTTTTCAACCAAGGGAGTATGGCCCAACCTATATTTAGGATAATCTATAATTCCACTATTTAGAAATATCTCTAGTCTAGAAATATCCTTACTCTAAATTTATCATTTCTCTAGAAACATCTCTAGTTTAGAAATATCCTATTTAATATCTACTATAAAATAATCTATGTTCTAGAATTATCCTTGTAATACTATAAATACCCCATTGTACTCCTCATTTTGGCATCAAGTTAAATAAGCAAATTCTTATCTTCTATTAAGAGTTTCAAGCTTTAGTTCTCTCTTATCTTATTTGAGAGTTCTAAGCATTACTTGATCACTTTCTCTTTTTGGTTTCTAAGCCAATTAAATAATAAAATTATATCTAATATTTTAAATGAGTAAATGTATTTCTTTATATAAAAAGTGCGTAATTTATTAATAAAAAATTTACAATAAATAAATATATAAATAAACTTAATAATTTATATATTTAAAAATAAGTCTTGTAACAATTTTTTAAACATATGTCTAAGAACATGTGTTAACAGATAAAAATAGTAAATATTTTATTTAAAAAATATAACATTTAATATTATTAAAGTATTGAATTATGTATATTTTTTTAATAAAATTTTACTATACATAGATTATTATTATGTGTTATTTGACATAGTAAAAAAAAATTCTTATAATTATAATAAAAGAATGTTAATTATTTCTTATAAGTAGAATCAAAGGTAGTATTTTATATAACTAATTATCACACTAATTGATTTTAATATAATTAATTTTTTAAAATAATAACTTATTTTATTTAATTCAAACATGCTAAGAAATTTTGTGAAAGTATTATTAAGATTTTTTTTCAATATCTTTATTAGTTAACTAGTTAAATAAGTGTAGATTTTAAAATTAAATATTTATTATTGTATTGAAATAATATTTTAAACTTTTTTTTAAAATCGATTGATATATTTATTTTAAAATTTTAAAAATTAACAAATATTTATAATTTTTAAAAATAAATATTAATTATCATTACTTATTATACATTTAATATAATATTAATAATAATAATTATATATAAAGTGCATAAAATGCCCCTCACACGTTATACATTACCTTAAATCAAAGGGGAGACATTTGTTCTAACAACAAACGGTTGACTTCGGCAACGAAGTGACCATTGAGAAAAGATTAGGAGGCTAAAGCAAAACCCTAAGTAGGTGAAGGTACCCGAACATTCATATACCATCCCATCCCATCCCTAATCCATCGTTCTAGATCCTTCCTTACATACAACACCACATTTTCATTTCATTTTTTTTCCCTCTTTCATTATAGATTCTAGACCTTTCCACACTCTCCCCATTTAGTTAATATATAACAATATAATAACAACCATTGTCCAAAGGCTCAGCACAATAGAGTTTCACTTCCTTTGTGATTTGTTCTGTGTGATTCGGAATGGCTCGTTACGGCGAGGGCGATAAACGCTGGATCGTTGAAGAGAGACCTGACGGCACTAACGTCCACAATTGGCACTGGGCTGAGACTAACTGTCTAGAATGGTCTAGAACCTTCTTCACCAACCTTCTCTCCAACCTCTCCATCCTCCAAGGCGAAGGTAACCTTTTCATCAAAACCACGTCGCTTCGCAACGTCGACGGCGAAGCCTACGTCAACGTCCGGAAGGGAAAAATCATCCCCGGCTACGAGATCAACCTCACCCTCGCTTGGCAAGGCGAGGCCAAAGACTCCAACGGTAATTCTCTCCTCAAGGTCGATGGCACCGTCGAAATCCCCTATATCTCCGACGAAAACGCCGATGAGGACCCCGAAGTTAGGGTCACCGTCAACGACGAAGGTCCCGTTGGAAAGACAATCAAGGATGCAATGATTTCGAAGGGAAAGCCCTTGATCTTGGACAAGGTTAGGGTTTGGGTGCAGAGCATGGCCAAAGGTGGTCCCGTTAAGGACGAATTGGACACCAAGAAGCCTACTCTGGTGCAGGCTCCAGCGCAGCAGAATCATGTGCCGACGACATCCCCGGCGACGGTTGCTCCTGCGGCTCCGTTGAAAAAGGAGAACAAGAAGGGAGGGAAGAGTATTAGCATGACGGAGAGGTTTAATTGCAGGGCGAAGGATTTGTATGAGATATTGTTGGATGAGAATAGGTGGAAAGGTTTCACGCAGAGCAATGCGAGGATTAGTAAAGAGGTTGGTGGTGACTTCAGCATTTTCGATGGATCGGTTACTGGAACTAATTTGGAGTTGCAAGAAGCTAAGTTAATTGTGCAGAGATGGAGATTTGGGAGCTGGAACGATGGGGTTCAGTCTACGGTAATGTTTTTGTTTTGTTTTGTTTTGATAGAGTGTTGATTAATGTAATAATGAGTGATTAAGTTAGTTAATTGGTTTTCATTTTTTGTATTTGCAGGTGCGGCTTGTGTTTGAGGAGCCTGAATCGGGTGTTACCGTTGTTAAGCTGACGCATTCTGATGTGCCTGAAGAAGATAGGTGGGTGTTTGTTTGGCTGGGATTGGCTTTGTGGAGTGGTTTCTTTGTTTTGCTGAGGTGTTTGCTTATTGGTGCAGGTATGGGAATGCTACTGTGGTGGAGAACACGGAGAGGGGATGGAGGGACCTCATTTTCCAAAGGATACGTGCAGTTTTTGGTTTTGGAATTTGAGATTTTCACTTATTGTTTCTGGCATTGTAGAATTTGAGGATTTTGATATTGATCTGTAAGGGAATGTTGAGATTAATGGATTGATATTGGATACTGTGAACTGCAATGCTTCTTGCTTTTGTCAGTTGTGCAATATAGTGTGTCGCCGTGTCTGGTTTGAATGTTAGTTGTAGTTGGTATCTTTTATTGTTCCTGTTGTCATACAATGAATCAGTTGAAATTTTATAGTCACTTTGATTTAAACTGCCCATCACCCTGTGCAAATTAGAAAGGATTATTTGACTATGGGTATTAAATTTCTCCAACTATTTGTTTAAAATTTCTAGTCATATAACTTGTTCATAAAATCTTAATGAAGATTCATGAGGTATCGTTGTTTGAGACAAAGGGAATGTTAACATGTTTGCGACTTTGCTACCTTCCATGAACTTGGAAATGAAGTGCAATCGTTTGAACACTGCTGGAAATGATTATCTGGATCATTTTAAGATTAGGATGTAGTGCTGTTTTAAGGTGGATTATTGAAAGACAGTTGTGAGATAGCTTGTAAGTGAATGAGATTAGATGATTTAGCTATGCTTCAATGTCAAGACGGTGGTTGTCCTGTTTTCCTGTAGGCAATGTTTCCTTGAATTAGGATCTTTGTGGATAGGGAAACTCGTGTCCAAGGCTTTTTAAGTCTTGTTTAGCTAATCCGAGTTCAGTGGCATTTGGATACAACCCACTTTTAAGTGGGTTGTGTTTGGAAGCAACTATTTGTTAGTCTTTCTTAATCGAGATCCATTTCATAGTGATTAGAACTTAGTCACTGGGCAACTAAAGAAAAATTGGTGATATATTCCGAGGACATCTTACTTAATATTGTTAAGGCCTATTAGTTACAAAACCGAATTGTTAGTTGAGTTTGCGTGATTGTTTTTCTGGTTTGTTATTGGTCTTAATGCTGCTATATCATTTGTATCATATTTGATTCATAATGGAATCACAATGGTTCAGTTTCCTCTCTTCTGTGCAAAGCTATTTTAGTTTCCTAACATGGTTCCATCTCCGTTTATTACTGATAACGTGCTGATGTAGTGGAAGCAGACATTGTAGCATTTTGCCCGGGGATAAAACGGGGTGGTCTTTTCTGTCAATGTTTGGTGCTGCATGGTGGTGAGCATCTGCATAAGCAAAGCATCTATATCTTATAACAATCGTTTGATGGGTCATGAATGCTATAGTGACTGTCTCGGCTTGTCTGCGTGTTAATTTCAATATCGAACTCGACGTTGTCGGTGCCTATTTTCGTACTCCTTACTTTATTTGGATGAGGTGTTAACCTTTTTATTTTTTTTTTCGTTTGTTCTGTTCTTCACTACGAAGTTAAGCTTCTGCAGAATCCTTTCCATCAATGCTAGAGGGATTCATTTCAACTTTTTTTTTTTTTTTGTCGTGACCTCTAGTGGAGGAGCTTGCTTTTTGCACTTCTTATTTTCACACCTCATTATTATTTTTTATATATTTTTAAGAAGACATGATAATAAAAAAACTTTCCTGATTTATTTTGTTTTTGAAATTTTTGAATTTATTGTAGAATTTAAATTATGAATATACGTGTAAAATTAGCTTTTGTACGTGTGTAAAATTGTTTAAATATATTTTTATTATTCACATTTTAGTGAATTTTTAATTTTAACTTTTTAAATAATTATTTTTTATTTTATCTTCTATCTTTTATTATAATTTTTTTAATATACTGATTTGGTCCATTGAAATATTATTATATGTTACTTTCTAATTTGATTATATCAGTATTAAGAATTAAATTTATGAAAACGAAAAGACTGAAATATTAAATATTCGATTGAAAGAATTAAAATAAAAAATTTCTTAAAATGTGAGTATCAAAATTATGTTAAGCTCTATACAAATGTCTTTAAGTTTGGATAAAAATATGTTTTCATAAATTTATTATTAAAAGTATATGTTAAAATGGTTATATTGGAAGTGTATTATTTTAATTTTAGAATTTATTTTTGAAAATAGTTAACATTTTTTTAAATTAAAAATTTTAAAATAGCTTTATTTTGGAAACTAATTTTTGGGGGGTCAAAAATTTTAATTATGAAAATTTATTTTTAAAAATGTAAAATTTTAATGTAAAAAATTTATTTTCAGAAATAGTTGTGAAATTTTAAATTTTAAAACTAATTTAATTTTAATTTTTTTAGAAGAATAAAATTTTAATATCAAAAATTTATTTTCATAAGCATAAATTTTAATTTCAAATTTGTTTAAAAAATTAATAATTGAAAGTGTAAGAATTTAAATATTTGTTTTTACAAGTGTAAAATATAATTTTAAATACTTATCTTTATGAGATATTAATAATTTTAAAATTATTTTCTAAAGTGTGGACAAAAATTAATTTTTAGAAGTGTAGAATTTTATTATAAAAAATTATTTTTCAAAAAGTATTAAAATTTATAAGTTGATAGAAGCTTACTAAGTTATCATTTTTATATGATAAATCAATTTTTTTTTATAATACATTCCATACAATACAGTGGATGCATTTAGTTGTTCAAAAGCAAGTATAATAATGTGATGTATGTTTAAAAATCTCTTTCAAAGATAAGTTTACATTATAAGTGTACAATTTTTTAAAATATAATGTAAAATTTATAATTAATTGTGTCAATTTAAATGTGAATTTAAATATAAAATTAATTCATCAAGTAATTAATTTTATTAAAATTATATTATACTGAAATAACTTTGCTTCTCTAACATTTTAATATCTCAAACAAGCACCCTATATTACTTAGTGTTTAATTTATTTATTACATTTTTAAGAATATTTTAAAGTAATAAATGGTCATGTATATTTTTTCAAAAAAAAATTATAAACAAGCACGTAGCAGAAGTTAAAAGATATTTGATATTATTTCTGGTTTTATTTCTCTGTTTGTAAAAAATAAACTATAAAAACTATTTTATTAGAATTAATTTTTAAATTTAAATAATTCATTTTTTAAAATTATTATTTATAAAATTACTTAAATAATATTAATATTTTATATAAAAAGTGGTATTAGTAAAAGAATAATAACTAATATCATTTTCAAAGTTTATATAGATAGATAAATAAAAATAATATTTTTTTTCTCCGAAAGACAGATAAAAACATGTGATAAAACAATGTATTATTTTTACATGAGAATTTCGAATTTTGATTTAGATAAGTTGTAAAACTTGTCACAATGCTGCTAAAGAAATAAGGTTAACTAAGTTTAACATTAGATGGACTTAAAAGGGCCAAATAAGATATTAATCGTCGCCTGAGAGATTCGAACTCTCGCGGGGAAACCCCATGTACTTAGCAGGCACACGCCTTAACCACTCGGCCAAAGCGACATTGGTGTAAGGCCCTTGCATTTCTTTCTATTAATATGGACGATTATGTTTTCATTCTACCAGGTAATAGAAAATAATTGTGACTTGGTATAAAAATAAAAACCCTCATTTCCTCTAAATTTCTTTGGGCTATTGTATACAGTTCCAATAATATATGATACACAACTAGATGCGTTTGCTAACATAAAAATAAAATCAGTAGAAGATTCCTTTTTTAAAATTATGACTATTTTGGTATTTGGGTGAGCATGAAAAATAGAACAGAAAAATGTTTTATAGAAACTTTCGGATCATTTCTCTGACTTCTTCAGTAACTAGCCAGGCCTTATGGCCTCCAATCACTTCTCCTTTCATCTCTCCGTCTTTCCACAGCTGCAATCAATTAAACTTTTCCTATTGGATTTCTAAACAAACTGGCGGAGATAAGATTCTCTTTAATATATGGTATCATTTAGATTAAAAAATAAATTAACATGATGGGAAACGCACCTGAATTGTTGGCATTTTCTGGAATACAGAATATCAAAGTAAATAACACAGTCAAAAGAAGCATAAGAAAATATATAGCGCATTTTTGCCAGAAAGAATAAGAGTTGTTAGAACGAAATGTGGTACTTACAGAGATGTTGCCACGCTTGACTAGAGATTGAGGTACATTATTGACATCCACGTAATAAAATTTGATTCTGAAACAGTGCCAAAATCAGAACATAGAAGTTTGTATTGGGTTGGTAAAGACATTGTATTGCATATTTGAATTCCCAATACTGGTTAATCTTATAGTTGAAGGTTAGAAGCATAGCATCTAAAAGTATTTAGCTATGAATTAATTTTAGTTAAATTTAATTTTCGAAGACCATTTATTTAAATAAAGTAATGTCTTAAGTGGCATTTGACTGAAAAAGGACACTATGACTAGTTTACTTGTCGTGATATTCAGCAGCTAATTTTTCCAACTTGGGCTTCAAATATATGCATTTCCGGCACCAAGTAGCCATCCTACATTTACAAAAATAAAACAAGTAATCAAATGAACAAGTCTACTCGCAAAATTCCACAGCACTCTAATTAAAATTTTAAACTCCTTTTAAGTTTTAATTAAACTATGAAAAAACATACAATTAAAATTAATTGTATATTTAAGAACACACTAAACAATGCTATATTAATGTTATAAGCTTGTGTGACTTGTAAATATAGAAGTGTAAACGACATGATTTTGGTTGACAAACACGTTCTTTGTCCTTGCGCACAATACAAGATATTTAATTTAAACGACACTCGAGTTCCCACAATATCCCAGCACCAATGATATCCTCAAAATATCTAGCTACAGTCACTGGATAGCACTGCACATTATTGCCCTTTTCTTTCTTCTTCCATTTTTTTTTTTGGGCAAGCACACCATTGTCTATCACTAATTCATCATAACAAAAAGCTTAGGAGCCAGTATAAGATAGAATAAAAAAATGAAAAATGCTAATAGCATCACCTCATATTCTAAATATCATAAAAGTAGAATGAATATGCCCACAAGTTAACTATAAGAAAGAAAAGTATAAGATCAATTTTTCCAATCGATAAAAAATATCTTAACAGTAAGTGAAATTAATTGCAATTATGTAAGTAAAACTTGAACAGAAGATATAAGGAGAGAGAAGTACCAGTCAATGAGAATAGGCTGGGAGTTTTGCTGAGCATGAAGTAGAATTTGATCTAACTGTTCACAATCATTGATGGGTTCCATTTCTAACTCACTTGGTCTTGACAAATCTGGCCACATAGCTTCCACCCTCATATTCCTTCTTCTAATTTTCCCTTCTCTCTTTCTTCTTTCAAACCATATGTTCACACAACCGCCCTTGTGAGAAATCACATACCCTCTCCCACTTACCAAGTGTTGGGGGCACTGTTGATACCTCTGGTAAACCTCTCCGTAGAAAAAATGTGATGAATATGTGCCTATAATAGACATACCCTTTTGAACTGCAAGCTTCTCTCTTTCAACAACAAGGTTCGAGGTTCGCGATGATGAGGAAAATGGGTTCCAATAGGTTGATGGCTAAGAAAAAATGAACAGAATCATAGTGGGTTTGGGGGACAAGAGCAAGATATTATGAAATGGAATGAGAATGGGGTTGAATTACGTTGGTCTTGGATACTACGAAGCAGAAGGGTAAAATGATAAAAACAAAAAGAAAATAATTTCTAAAAACCTCGGAAAGGCTTATCCGCAATGCGTGCACAACCACAGCTCAAGATGGATAGGGGCATATACATGAGAAGGCTAAAGAATCACGGGCCCACGCATTGGGGATAAAGCTCCAATTGCTTCTCCTTATAATTCACACACTCACTTTATTTTCTTAGGCAAAGTTATAATAAAATAGGGGGAAAGATTTTTGCAAAAATCAGATCATTTCAGGTTTCTAAATGGATTTTACACAGGAAAAATCTAGTGGAATTGTTTAAGGGCTTCAAAAATATGAAATTAACTAAAATAATAGTTGCATGCATCCAAAGGAATCTAAAGGAATATGTGGATCATAACGCTGAGGTAAATTGGAAATTGGGGCACCAAATGCCATCATCCCTTTAATTACTATGGATTGGTATATTGTTGCATACCTATTTCTTGCTAATGATGACATCATAAATGGAATGGGACAACCAAATAAGCTCTAATTTTTCCTAGATGAACGCAATGTGAATTCATAATTTCCCTTGGTGCTAGGAGTTTTTCCGGGCTTTAAGAAAAAACATAATCTGAAACATTAGATGTATTCTGGATTACATAATAATAATAATAATAAGTGCCATCGTGCCTTGTTAAAAGGACCTTTTCTTAATAAGTATGGCCCATGTTTCAAACAGGGATTTGTAGTTCGGCCCATGTTTCAATTGCTCTGAACAGTTCCCACTTACAGTAGATGTCTTGACCTAAGCAAAAAAACACAAGTATTTTGATGATAACAAATTGGTAGATAACTTGTACGAATAATTATAATTGTTTTTATATCTTTTCTAGAATTTTTAAATTATTACAAATTTATAATATTTTGTTTTTTAAATAATATATATAAGTATTTTTATTTAATATTTATTTTATAAAATAATAAAAAAATATTAAAATTTGAATAAGAAAGTACAACAAAGCTCAACTCATGTTAACCCAATATTGCGCATTTGTTTCCGCGGATAATTACACTGACTTTCCTTGGCTTAGCCGCAGTTTTGACCATACTCTTTTCATTCTAAAATTATACGCAATACCCTTTAACACAAACATTGTTTGTCTCTGTTGCTACGAATTGTAAGGTGATTCATGTATCATTTTCAACACTAAGCAATTCTTGCATGAGACACAACCAATTAAAATTATATGATGTATTCAACTATTAATATTATCCTACACTTTATATTGGTTGCATCTAAGGCTGAGAAAATATCCAAAAAAGTTCCAATCCATAACCAACTAAACTAGTTTTAAAGTCCAGATTTCTAATAAAAATAGATATTTAGATTCACTTTATTTTCTTATACAGATTTTATTTATTAAAACTGGTTTGTTTTGAAGATAGTAAGCAGAGACTCATGTTATTTTCTATTGCAAAGCGACGATAAAGGGGCATTGGACTCTACTGCACGTTTTCTCCAATCTCACGACACAGCTATTGTTATAGCTATTTAATAATCACTTGATAAAAACACAATGGCTCTACTTAAAATTATTTGTTTTACTCTCTTTCTTATTTTGTAAAAAATTATTTTAATACACATAAATAAAAAAATATCTTTAAAGTCATAAAAATAAATAAATAAAACTATATTTAAATTTAAATTGCCATACATTTTAAAGTATTAAGAATTTTTATTAATATTTTTAAATAAATTTTCAAAAAAAGCATATTAATAATATTTATAATTCATCAAAAAATATATTTTTTAAAAGAAATTTATAATTAAAAATGCAATAAAAAATAATATAAAATTAAAAAATTAATTACATAATAGTTATACTAATTTAGCATCCAAAGCTAAGTTAACGAAAATCATATATTTAAAATTAGTTTTAAATCAAATTTTAATTTTAAAACTAGTTTTAAATTGGTTTTAGAAAAAAATTAATTTAAAATCCAATCTATATATTTAAATTTAAAATAAATTTAGATTAGTTTTAGGCAAATTTAATCCATGCTCACCTTTAGTTGCATCTATTATCGCGCACATATAAGAATCCTCACTTTCTATTAGACTACAATTCCAAATGAATGAAATATATTAACTTATTTATTTAAAATTTTTAACTTTATCTTAGGTGCGACTCTTTTAAAAGCAATTATAGCCACTAAAATTGTGCATCATAATTATTTGAGATCTTCATATTTATATTTTATACTTATAATATTTGATTTGAATTATATATATATATATATATATATATATATATATATTAAGTAAAAGAAGCATTTTTATATAAGAATACGGTTTAAAAAGTGACATTATTCTTAAAAATGTTTACATGACATATGTTTTATTTTTTACCATTTATAATAAAATATAATTATTATAACTTATTTTATTATTTTTGCATTAATTTTTTAACAATATATATATATATATATATATATAAAATTTAAACTTTGACATTTCAACATTTTCTTTAAAATTAAATGGTTAATTTAATTTAAAGATTAAATTGATTAGTTATTATCCTTTTTAAAATATTGAAAGGCCCAAAAATAATCTTTATTTTGACGTCGTATAACTTGCTAAATTAATGATTTAGGTATCATTTAATGAACTTATTTACTATCACAAACCTTTAAAAAATGAAATAAATGTGAAGTAAATTTTTGAGAAACGAAATAGGAAATTTAGTATTTTTGTTGAGTAAATTATAATATGTACTCTATCTATTGACATATAGAATTAAATAATTATAAATTACATGAAATATTGATAATAATATTTGAATAATTGATAATACAAAATAAAATCATTGTATATTTTTTAAACCCGTGCATTAGCTACAAAATTGTAGTTTATATAGAACAAATCAGTGGTCCTGTCTTCCTATTAGTATTAATTTTATTAGATCGCAATCAATAATTACAATAAGCTTAGTCTTAGATCTCTTAATAAGTAATTATACTTATAAAACTTATATTGGGACAAATTCTAGTTCATTAGAAATGGGACAGAGATTGGCATATTCTAGCGTTTGAGCTATCATTTGCTGTTATAAAACTTAATATAAGTTTGCTTAAGATGGAATAACATAATAGTAGTAGTTTTCGGCACGCTTGCTGGGATTGGGAGTGACTACAAAGCATGCGTTTGGGATTTAGCTCTCAGGGATAATGGGGTCGGTGGATCATTCCACCCCTTTTTTTCTTTTAACGTGACAAAGTGCCCCGTGATCATGTGATCCACCCCATCTTTTTATTTCTTCAAGTTTATGAGGTGAAATAGATTTTGATAATCTTAAGAAAATAATTTTCTTTTTTAAAAAAGAGAGAATCACGTTCTTAATAAATTTGATTATTGAATTTATAATATAGTCATGATTTTAAAAATATTTAGCACGCACTCTTGGTCACATGGGTGGTGGACTGGTTGAAACAACTTAATAGTGCAAAAGAAAGTGGTCATGTTATGTCCCGTTCCGATCCGATAATGTCTTTGTTGCCACAAATGGTGGAGTCCAGCTGGGTGCTCCTTCCTTTCAACCTCTCTGGTTTCTCTTATGGTTTTTTACTTTTCCATCCATTATTCACAAATCATAAATGAAATATCGATCAACTTTAAGTCCTTTATTCTGTAATTCATTAAGGTATCTTCAAACAACTGTGTTTTCACGCATTAATTATTTTTGTTACTAATGACTTGTACATTAATAATACATGAAAAGAATTCAAAATTAAAATTTAAAAAATTAACATGCCCCGCCCATCACGGATCGCTCAAGTCAAGTAACATGATCTCTACTTGTTTTGTCGAGGGAAAAAAGAATCTAGCGAACTAGTGAAGAATTAATGTCATGAAAATGGAACATTGGCTTTATAAATAAGCATTCGTTTCCACCTGGATATTCGAAGAAAACACACACTTGCTTTAAATTACTAAAATATAATTGACAAGTTCCCAAGTGCTCAAGAAAAACAATATTTTGTTAAAAATAAATATTTAATATAGTTTGCATAGGTGTTACAAGAGAATAAGAAATAAATTTGGGAGAGGTAAAAACATGATAAGGTGAAGAGAGAGGTGAACTATGGGAATTGATATTGATTTGTTTTGAAATGCATGATCCAAAGTTGGGACAGTTGTTAAGATGTTTGGGTCGGGTGAGGGGAGTTTGGTGAATGAATGTGATGCGAATTGAATGCAGCATTGCCACTGCACCAAAAATCAACCACCCATTTCTCAAAAGTAAGGTTTGTAACAGGTCACGCCTGTATTATATTTTTTAAGTTCATTTAATTAAAAAATCAGATTTTGAGTTCTAATTTTTTTATATTTAACAAAATGGTCTATTTAAATAATGGTAAGAATAATATTATAATAATTTTAAATTAAATATTTTTTTGATGTAAAGACTCAAATAAATTTACCCTAATTTAAGTTTATTAGCTTGATATGAATTCCTTTTACCTGTTTAAAATATTTATCTTTAACGAAAAGTAAAAAAATGAAAAATAAATATTTTTAAAATTAATTAAAATACTTTTTAATTATCATAAAGTATTGAAAATTTACTATCTTTTAGTTTTTTAGATGCAAATTCTATTTAATAAATTAAACACTCAATCTCATTTAAAAATTAATTTATTTAATATTTTAAAGATGTGATTGATATTGAATAATTAGGAATAGAATATTACAAGTATACAGAATGTTTATTTCTACTATTATATATTTATTGTTAACTTTTATTTAAAATGTTTTTATCATTAATATAGTTATAGAAAATATAGTATTTAAAAAAGACTATTTAAATAAAATAATAATAAAACAGAATGGATGAATAAATGAATTCCGTTTTATTACGAAATGAATGTGTAATTTAAAATTTAATTTTTAAGTGTATATTTAGGTAACGTTTATAAAGATGTTTTTTTTAAAAAAATTATTAACAATACAATTGAAGTCACATAATAATCGTAATCAATGTATACAATATTATTTAGATATGTTAATAAAAATCACATTTAAAATTTAAACTATTAGTATTTTTTAAAATGTTTTAAAAGTAATATTATAATATTGAGTTTTATGTCAAAAACACATTCGTAAAACTAACAAAATGTTATACTTGCGTCAAAATAACGTTTTAGAGTACGGAAATAACATGCGTAAATTTGTCAAATATATAAGTTTGCACCTGCTCAACAAACTTTGCAAACGTTTCTTTGTTTCTCCCGCAAAACAAGAAGCAAGTTTGCAAAGATATTAATTTAACACCTTTTAGGGCTTCTATGTATGTTTTCTATTATAATCTTATCATGATTTTGACTACTATCGGACAAATTGGCCAAGCAAATTCTGATAATTGATGTTTTCTACCTCACCTCTCTACTAACTAATAAACGTTATTTCTTGCGTTGTTTGCTGAAAATTCTTTGCGGTTGTTTTCTCCTTATTAGGTCCCTTTCCCTTGTCTCTAATGTCACACGGTAATATAATTTGACCATTAGGTTAGGCACAATATCTGAATTTAGTTATAAGCTGAATAACTAGCGGATGAAGAGATATTGTGATGAGAGAGACAACGTATTTTCTCTATAACAAAAGTAAGCACCGTATAATTATAGGTACATCATATTTCAACATTTTCCATTAAAGCGACGCAACACTTGAATCCTTTAATTTAGTGAAAAAGTGACTACTCGTACCATACAAAGAATAAAGAAAAGAAAAAGCTAAATTAAGTACATACTATCAACTGCTCTAATTGAGTTTGATTCTGTTTCTGGAAAGGAAAAGGTTACCTTTCAACTTCTCAAAGACCTCTTCAGCTTATCACTCTTGTATTAGAATAGCATTATATGCGTTATATTTTTATTTTATTGCATACATTAATTATTATAATATGTTAGTATTTTGTATTTTGAACAAATCTTGGTAGTCTAACAACTGGCCGCAGCTTGTGACTTTTTTGCGACTGTTATTGTAATAATCTTTATCGTTAACTAATTTTACACTTTGATTATTTTCCCTTCTTGCCTTTTTCAATCTTCTTAAGATTCCTAATTTCCTTTCTTATATATGTCAAAGTTCTAATTGTGCTTTGTTCCGGTCTCTTTTCTCGAAGACGTGACACGTATTAAAGCTTAGAGTGACGAACCAATCCTGATTAAGAATGTGGCTTATGCATTAAATAACGTGAGTATTCTAATCCCGCATATGTTTTTAACGTTTCAAGATCGTAAGGGTTTTTAACCAGAAGTGTTGGGTACGAAATCCAACTGTGAAAAAAGGATGCGCGCGCACAAAAAGGTAGGATAATGAACAAGAAGGTTGCATTTATCGAGCACGTACAAATTCTGATGAAAATTTCTGTTCTTGTAGGGTTTTTTTATATATAATTATTTCTACAATCAAGTGAGTAATAAAAGGATAAAAATATAAAATAAAAATGATCCATATATAAAAGGAAAGATGAATTACAAAAAGATATAACAAAGAAGTATGTATTGAGACAATATACATCAAATTAAGAAATGTCTAACACAGTATAATTAAAATAATATATAATTATTATAAACATCAATGAGTGTCTTAAGCTCATTTGACAAAGAAGTTAAAATTAATTTCTTATTAAAAATTATTAATATACTAACTATAATTTTTATTATTAATTCTTCAATCAGTATCCTTTTAGTGTTGGAGGGGCGGTAAAATAATAACATTAATATAAAATATATTTTTAAAAAAAAGAGATTAATAATTTTTTATAAGTAGTTTTAAAAATTAATTTTTTAATATTTACTTAAAAATATACAAAATTTAATAAATAATAATTGTCTAATTAAAGTTTATATAATTTAATATTATTAATACATTGACGTGTGTGATTTCTTGTAATTTTTAATAAAAAATATTATACAAAAATACATTAATTTTATTACTTAATAATAAACTCGTTTCTTTATTTCGATAGCAAACAAATATTCCACAACTCAAATGTATTTTAAAATTTTACATTATTTTGAATTACAAAAAATATAAAATAAGATATTTAATTATTTGCTCTTTTTTGTCAACTAACGCACCAAGACGGTTTGCGCGATTCTTTAAATAATAATCATACTTTTATATTTATTTATTTTTCTTTTATTGATTGGTTTATTACATTATTTATATTTATTTGACATCTCAAAATGAGGTGTAAAATAATCTATATTTCTTTTTCCAGATATCGCACTCTTTGATTAGTTAGGCTTTCATGGGTGATTGTGGCCCCACCATTGCAATGGCAACGCCTCATAGAGACATAGACCACACAGTTCAACAGAGACAGACACATGTCTGCAGGATCTCTTTTTAATAAGAAAATAATAATGAAAAAGAAAAGGAACCGACAATGATAGAAAAGCAAGCACATGCGCGTGTGCTGCACTTCGCTACAAACGAGCGTCGCCGCAGAAGAGGTAAGGCTCAGTAGATCTAAGCCGTTGAGTTGAATCCCATCGTCAATCACTATACTCACGCATTGACACGTACGGAAGTCCTGCCGGTACGGTGGAATGAATTAGATATATGTTAAACTTGTCATAGGGTGGAAATTTCCTGTTTATTTTTCCTATAAATTTTGATAAAATCTTATATTTTTATGTGATAAATAAATACACATTTATTTTAGTCTTTAAAATTATAAGTATTAATTAATTTAATTAAATTTAAGTGTTAAAATGATTGAAATATATAATTTAAAAAGTTAAAATAATTCAAGACAAAATAAAATTATATAAATTTTAAATAAACAATTTCAGTCTCTTTAGAGACTATTTCCTCACATGGAACTTCTGTTTAAGATGTTTCCGTGGTAGAAAATTCATAAATTTATCGCTGCTTCTCAATACATTTGATGTGATACATCGTACACTCTTTTATTATTAGGTTCTCTTTTGAGGATAACGAAATTTTAAAATGTTATTAATCGTAAACCTCTGTTGATGCACTTCTAAAAGTTCCAGAGACATGAAAATGTCGTAAACTTGTATAATTTATTTATGAGTAATATATTTATACCGGTAGAGTACACGTCACAATTCAATTTTTAAAATTTATCTCTTTTATTACCTTCCTATTGGTGTCTTATTTTCGTCTTTATTTTTAGTAAAGTCCTCGTGTTCTTTTTTATACGATAAACAGTGTATATCATAATTTCGGTAAATTGTTGTCTTAGGGATTGCGTCGCGTGTATGAATCCAATATTCCGATTTCAAACGCGGCCTCACCGACACGACACGACACTGTAGTGGGACATTTCCTGCACTTTTTAGTCTTCTTTTATTTTAACGTTCTGTATATATAAATAATTTTAAATCACTAATTGCAATTAAAATATATATATTTAAATTAATATCACTCATAAAAATATATAATATGTATTTCTATGACAAAAAACAATTTCCAATTAAAAATAATTAAGGTAACGTTAACCGTAATTTTATACTAAAACATATAATTATAACAATTAATTCTTAACATAAAGCAAACATGAAGTTAATGAGATCAAGCATGAGTCATATTCATGTCTTGCCATTCTTTTTCTAATTTCTATAGTTGGGACATATACCGAATGATTAAACACGTAAATAATAAACCATTATATTATAAACAAATAGTAACGAACTATCATATTATTATAAGTTTAAATTATATTAATAATAACTTGTGACATTGTAAACTGTTTAGGCTACAATTAATCTTATGAACATCCATGATTGTGACAAGGAAAATCGTCGGCACGATAAAGAATACGCTCTCTGTGATTTATATATTTCACTGTAATTATTCTCTCAATACACTATAGAGAGGAGTTAGTATTGTAAACAAAGTTTGTAGATATAGAGAATGTGATTGGGCGAACATCACTCACCCACTCTGCCCATTTTCTGTCCCCCTTTACTTTCCCGGTCACACACACAGACACAGTCGTTACTGATGTATCAACATCTCTGTACGCTTTAGTGTGCAACAACTACTTCACTTTCTCTCTCTGTCACCGGATCTCATCTTTAGTTTCACTTCATGCCCATGGCTGATGCCACCAAATACGTTCCCATCGGTGGAACCAACATGGCCATAGACCTCAAAAACCTCTTCTCCATTCTCAGAGCCAGAAAAACAGTAGCTTTTGCCTATGCTTTTATGCTTGTCTTCGTTTCTTTCACTGTTTTCTTAGCCTTCTCACCCTCTCCAAACGCTTCCTCTCCCTGGTTCACCAACATATTCTCCTCTTCCTCTGCCACGACTACCACACCTACTTCATACAAATCTCAACTTGCTTCCATTTTCTCCTTCTTTTTCCCAAACAATACTTCACCCCCTATTTTTAATTATCCCACTGATCCCCTGCAGAACAACACTAACACTTCTAGATCTAGCAATGCCACTTCTCAATCTTCTATTCCCAACACAAGTACTAAGACACTCACACCAACCTCTTTAGAAAACCCAACACAAACCTCGGTAAATTCATCCCATGATGCAGTTCCTGTTCCACGCACAAACCACACCACAAATTCTCCTGTTGTAACTAAAGAAGCGTCGGGTGTCAAAAATCACACCGATGAAGCTAAAGCCACGAACACAAATGCTTCTGCCCCTGCAACCAATGTTTCAGTGGCTTCACCTATTCAGAAAGTTCCAGTGGGGTCTCATCAGAACTCGAGTTTTAATTCTTCGGCAAAGGGTGTTGTGTCGAGTAATAATTACACGGCTTCACTAGCCAGAAAACAGAGCAATGGGAACAATCACGCTAAGGGGGAGGATGACTTGATGGAGTCTTTGATCAAGTGTGATTTTTTTTATGGAGAATGGGTTAAGGATGATTCTTATCCTCTCTATGCCCCAGATTCTTGCTCTTTGATTGATGAACAGTTCAATTGTATTCGGAATGGAAGGCCTGATAAACAATATCAGAAATATAAGTGGAAGCCCAAGGACTGCAGCCTCCCAAGGTGTGCGAATCTGTTCAATTTGTTGGTTAGTTTTAGATGTTGAAGTTTTCATTTGATGATTTTTTTGTTAGTCCAAAATAAAAATTATTTCTCTACTTTATATTATTGTTTTTATTACTTGGGTAATGTGAAAGTTGCTCTTTTTTTTTATTTTACTAGAATTGATCCATCTGTCATTTCTTTTGGGGTCACAATTGGGTTGAATTGCTTATATTTGTGATTGCAACATGTTGATTGCTAGTAGGTTGGATGCCCATCGAATGTTGAATTTGCTGAGGGGCAAGCGGTTGGTTTTTGTTGGCGATTCCCTCAATAGGAATATGTGGGAGTCTATGATTTGCATTTTGAGAAATGCTGTGAAGGATAAGAGCAAAGTTTATGAAGCAAATGGAAGGGTCCATTTTAGAGGCGAAGCCTCTTATTCATTTATATTCAAAGTAAGTATTGAGTTCTTCTGTGTTCTCGTTTTAGATATTTCTAGCTTGATTGGCTATTATTTGCCTCACATTGTTTGTTATATGTTTGGTATCAATGGTTGGGTAGGATTATAACTTCTCCGTGGAACTCTTTGTATCCCCATTCTTAGTTCAAGAGTGGGAAGTTCCTGATAAGAACGGGACGAAGAAGGAAACACTTCGTCTCGATTTAGTTGGTAAATCATCTTCTCAATACAAAGATGCAGATATTATTGTCTTCAACACTGGGCACTGGTGGACTCATGATAAAACTTCCAAAGGGTAATGAATGGCATTATCACTTCCCTTTCAAGATTGGAGGAAACCTTGTTATGAACATGAACTAAATTGCCTTGCCCATGACAATTTTCAGGAAGGACTATTACCAAGAGGGTAGCCATATTTATGATGAATTAAATGTTCTTGAGGCATTCCGAAGAGCAATTACCACCTGGAGCAGGTGGGTTGATGCCAACATAAATCCATCTAAGACCATGGTCTTCTTCAGAGGGTATTCTGCTTCCCATTTCAGGTAAAATACAAATGAATTGGTGATTTATACACTAGTTTTGGTCTCACATTATTCTATTTTTCAATTTCATCTCGCACAAGTGGAGAAATTATGCTAATAGTTGTTTCTTTCATACTGCAGTGGTGGACAATGGAATTCAGGTGGACAATGTGATAGTGAAACTGATCCCATTGATAATGAGAAGTACTTGACAGAGTACCCACCTAAGATGAGAGTTTTGGAGAAAGTGCTAAAGTATATGAAAACCCATGTGACCTACCTAAATATCACTAGAATGACAGATTTCAGGAAGGATGGTCATCCCTCAATATACAGGAAGCAAAATCTATCACCTGAGGAAAGAAAATCACCATTGAGATACCAAGATTGCAGTCATTGGTGCCTTCCGGGTGTTCCTGATTCTTGGAATGAAATTCTCTATACTGAACTTCTTATACGAGAGTATCGGAATAAGCATCAGCAGAAGAAAACATAGGTAATAAACTACCAAACTTGTGCCTCATATTCAATGAGTTAACGAATACACAATTTTTGTCCCACCAATATCCCAGGATAGTGAAAGAAAGAAACCATACGGAAAATGCCTTTTCTAGTTTATTTATAGGTTAAAAAGTGTTAAGTGAAAATGTTATATATAATTAAGCTGAAGCGAGCCTTGAAACTTTGCAATAAAATTGTTCATATGAATGGCATAAGGTGGTGAGGAGAGGAGAGAATAGGAGGGTGGTTTAGTTTGTCAATGTAGATCATCCCTTCTTTTACATCTTCATTCACTTGCTAGCCTGAAAGGCTGATTCCTATTGTAAATCTGTAATCAATTAGATTTTGTTTAATATTATAAATTATTAATTTATTGAGCCATATTGTGTTCCAGGACCCCCCAAGTAAATTTTGTTTAATGTTCTAGTCTTTCATAATTTTTTGGATGGAAATTTAAATGATGATGGTGAAGCATTCAATCTATTATAATGCAAGAGGAGCCACCGATTAGTAGGTTTTTGCTCAGTTTTGAAGCCAGAGACTATAATAACCTGACGACGTTCTTTCTCTGTTGCTTCTTAAAAATATTTAAGAGATAATCAATGGATGTGCACTGAACCTTTTCTTCCTCGTCACTTGAAGCCTCAGTATTGCAAGTCATGTATGGTATATTTTCAGAAAGTTGTATTGCCTGATTTGAAAACTATTGGAAAGGAAGTTACGGGATCATAGATGTATAAATTAGAATGCTATTATATTAGAAGAAAAGAAGTATGATATATATATATATATATATATATATATATATATATATATATATATATATATATATATATATATATATATTGAAATCATGATAAAAAATATTCAATTGCTTAAAAGTTATTATCATGTGTTTGAAGGCATATTTATTACCATACTTATCAATACCAGTGGAGAGGAGGTTTCCCCTATCATAAAAGATTGCAATTGTTCTTCTCATACTTATTTATGAAGAGTAGTATGGTTTTACCCATCATGAATCTAACACAATTATACACTATACTATTCAAACATGCTATAACATGTGACATGTAATATTTATCGATTACAAAAAAGTAGATATTTGAGGATTTGTTAAGATATCATTTAACCAATGATTAATGAAGGTCATAAAAAAATAATAATTTTCTAACACTTTTGATATTCATGTTGGAAAGTGTGTTGATCGGGGATGCTTTTGATGAAATTAATTTAAATTATTGAACGGGATTAAAATAGTGTATAAATTAATCTAAATTATATATTATCATTGTTGAAACAAAGAATTATATTATGAATTTATTTGAATTATATTTTATAATAAATGTGTTGCAAGCGTGTTACTAATAATTTTTTTGCACTAAATGAACTCACATATTGACCCAAAAGCAATATGTCATCAAACAATGTATATGAAGCACTGAAAACAATATATTATATAATATAAAATTTAAATGAATAATGGATGTGGTAAAGACTTAATATAATAGTAATTTTATTTGTTATATAACAATAAGAGAATAAAAAGAAATAACTAAACGATGAAAGGTCAAAAAAAAAAAAAAAGGAGAGAAAGATGCAAGAATAGCGTAGAAGGGTTGATCTTGTGGAAGGGCAGCAACCTCTGAATTTAAGAGTTAACGTATGAAGAAGCCATGTGGTAGCTGCGTATAAGTGGCGTCAAATGTGTCATAAATCTGCAAGAGTTTGCATTGGTGCATGGTTTAGATCACATTCATCATTCTCGTTATGCTGTCGGATTCCCAGCTCCTCGGAACTTATCTACAACCGGATTTGGTGCCACATTCAAGGTAAATATTTATTATCTTTATATTTTTTTAAAATCTTTTATGGAAGGTCAGATGAAATCTGATTATCTTAATTGATATGATTTTGATAAATCAATTCAACCCTAATTTTACTAATTTATTTATGCTAGTTTTTAGCTTAAGTTCAATCCCACCCAACACTTGCACTCTAATTGCCATAGATGGGGAAAGAAGTATCAAGGAACATAAAGGCGATAGCTGGTTAGTTAAGTTTAAAAGGTATTTAAGTAACTTTAATATTCTTAAATAAATAAGGTGGAGTGTCCTAACTGACTAACTCTAAAGTAGGTTAGCTCATAAACTCTTAACCAGTCATTTAATTTATTTAGTGTGTTATTTTTTATTTTTTTTCTGTAGTTTTGTCCTTCTGAGCTTTAACTAAGCATATTCCTATTGAACATTCAATTGTTATGGATATATTAATTAAAACTTGAATGTACGAGATATTATTTGATCATAATTTGATGAAGATTTAATTATTAAAAACAGGCTTGTAATTTCTTAATAACAAGAAAAATATATAATTGTTATTTAATTTGACTTTGGTTATTTCACCCTTAGATTGTAAATACTCCCTCGGTGTCCTGTGTTATACACACCATTGATAGTCACACCATTTCATTATTTTTGCACCTTAATTTTTTCTATTTACACTGCTTATTTTAATATTTTATAACTTTTGTATTTAAAATACCATTTTCTTCAACAATAACATCTCTTTCTATCATTCCCATATATATGATTACCCAAAATGTTAGGTCCAGTCACATTGCTATATTTTCACCTTCTTTTTTCGAAAAGTGACTTCATGAGAATATTTTCGGATCCCCTGCAACCTCTGCCATAAGAGTGCCAAAGATTTTCGAAGTTAAATAAGTGACGCATGTTTCTATTCGAAGGGATTTTTGTCGTTAGGCTCCTAGATTATCCTATTGGGTTTTGACTATCATGTTATATTGCATTAGTTTGTGTCTATTGTTTTATATCCAACTTGTGGATTGGATTAGCAGCCAAAAAGAGATAGTTAATTGCACATAGATAAGTTCGAGGGATAATGTAGAAGGTTATATTTGCTCTTTCTCCCTCTCTTTAACTCTGTTATATCTTTTTATAAAAATGGTTAATCAAATGGGAATAGTTTGTAGGTCTATTTCCTGTGAAAAACATGGTAGCATTTTCTATGGAAGTTAAATTTTACACAAGTCCAAAAATGTAGTCGTTGCAACCTCGCATTATACTCTGAAATTCTTTTTCTCTCTACAATAGTCCCAAAAAAACACGTAAAATTATGGGGTAAGAAAAATAAACTACAAAATCAGTGTATGATTTTCATTTGCGATCAATTTCCACAAAATTTTTGCATCAAATGAGTCCGCATGAGATAGGGGTGATGAACAAGTGATGTAGTGTTGAAGTTAAGAGTGAAGAAGGAGAGTTTTTCTCTCATCAATGTTATGAATGTTATTGAAGGGTAATTTTGGAATAAAAATTTACAAAAACTGTTATCAATGTTAATTATCCCTAATGTTGCAGTGCGGGTGTAATAAAAGACCAGGCCCAAGGTGGCAATTGAAATATGGGCTTCTAGCTTGCTGAAATTTAGAAGCTAATATTGTGTAGCCCAATTTGGCTAAAATTGACAGATTATCATTCACCAAGATTAAACGCAGATTGAAGTGTCAGAGATTAGTTAGCTAAGTCTTGATGAGAAATGAGAACAATGTTAATATAAATAATTACTCAGATTTGTGCTTGTTAAACACATTGTCTATGCTCCAAAAGTATTTTTCCATTTCACTCTTAAAAAATAAACAAGTGATTCATTTCGCATTTCCATTGACAAAATTTGGTACTACTTCCTCAGTAATCTCAATTAGAAGAATCATCCTTCCGATTAAATGAAAAGAAGCTAACAAACATAACAAAAGAATGAAGATAATTAAGTCAAAATTTAAGGAAAAGTAACTTTATACAAAGGGAAAATAAGGGTGGAAGTGAATGTTCTTTGTCCTCTTTGTTATGTATTATTATTATACTTGTAAGACCAAAAATGAAATGGTCAATCTTCTCATGAAGCAATCTGATGGGCCATCTGGGCCTCCTGCGGTTGGGCTTGAGCATTAGATAAGGGCAAGATTCTGGGCTTTGTATGACACAACGTAGCAGGGATTCGAGAAGCATTGTTATTATTGGTGGCAACCCGTTCGCAAGAGGGACACATGGTTAGGGTGGTAGCTGGAAGCTGCATGTAGAACGGTTGAGAAGTTTTCAAAGCTCTCAGTTCTTGCAGTTCTTTCTGCAACCTCCTATTCTCTTCTGTCAGACTCTCACAGCATCTCTTTAAGTACTCACAATCCACTTCCGTCTGCTTCAACTTTGTCCTATAATTGTTTTTTTTTTTTTTTTTTGTCAAAAATAAATAAATAAAAATAAAACCAATGAACATTATTTCAAGATGTGTTTTTTCAATTAAGTTATCCCACAAAGTAAATAATTCCATAATAAGTGAATCAATGAAATATAATTTTATTAGTTCCCTTAAAATACAGTTATTCAAGACAATCTTTTTACAAATAACAAACCACCTTTGTTAACTACGTCTACTATTCTTCTTACCTTGCCCTTCTGTTTTGAAACCAAACTTCAACTTGACGAGGACGAAGATTTAACTGTTTTGCAAGAGCAAGTTTCTGCTTCTGCAGATTTTGATTATAAGTATATGTATATTCAGATCTCTAAGAACTAAACATAATAATATATGCAGTTTATTAAAATAGAAAGAAAGTGGGAGTTACAGGGTTGAGAGTGGTGTGTTCTTTGAAGCTGTCTTCGAGAAAAGCTGATTGTTCCTTGGAGAGTCTGAGTTTCTTCCGTGTTGAGCCATTTTCTTCGTCATCGCTAGTTCTGTCAGCACCCTCAGTGTTTCTGGCTGCATCTGCATTACTGTTTCTGATACAAAAATCCATCGGAAAAGATGACACTGCACTGTTGGGGGATGAAAGTGCAGCACCGTCGTCGGTGTCATCCACCGGCGGCGACTGGAATCGGTTCACGTCCAACACCCTCGTCGGAACCTCTGACGTGGCACGTTCCGTACTCACTGTTATGAACAATTAAGTGCATAATGAAACAAATATGAAAGAGTATTCTTCTATGAAATGGATTAAACTTGCGTGAATTGATTGAAGAAAAGGTGGGGTGTTTACGTGCATGCATGAGCCATGGAATGGGAAAGTGTGAAGAAGGTTGAGATGGAGGAACGGGTGTTGAAGGAAGAAGGTGGAGCTGAAGGGGTGGATCTGATGAACCCTTTCTCTCGTCCTCAAGTGCTATGGAGGGTAATTTTGTGGCCAAAGAGAAAGGCTTTGGTGTGTCGCCTAAGCTCAGAGCCAGCTCCATGATACGGATCTAATTAATGGGTGAAGAAATTATAGAGTAAAGAGAACAATTTCTGGGTTGTGGTAAGAGTAGACTAGAGTTTGAAATTGAAAGCTAACATAAGACTCTACCTGTGTTTTCTTCTGTGTAGTGAGTATGAGAGTGCAGATTTGCTTCACAAATGAATGAATACTACTAACCGTTTCTCTCTTTTTATTTCTTCTTCTGCCTTAGCGTGGAGGACAGATTGACCGACAATTCCTGGTTGACAAACGCACGTGAATCTATTTAAACTCAAAAGCAAAATAGTTTATTCATCTATCTTTAATTACAGCAATTTGTTAATCTTACCGTTTTGGGCCCATTTTAAACATTTAAAAATATAAAATTTTATTAAAAAACTATAGTCATTGCATTAACATTATAAGTGTTTAATAAATATTTTTAATATAATTTTATTATTATTAATATATGTCATAAATATTTTTAATATTGTTCTTTAATTAAGATTGGAGTTTATCTTATAATTTATAATAATATTAAATGTAATTATTTTATTAAAAATAAATTTTAATTTAACTGATAAACAATATAAATAACACCAAAAAAATAACTTATAAATTTTGTTTTTCTTCAAATAGGATTGAGGTTGACATGTTATTTAATTATTTAGTACATAAAAAAAAAGTAAAAAGAAAGAAAGAAATAGTAAATATAGTTTATGAGATTCATGTTTCAAAACTCTTTCAAAATAGTAAAATTCAGCATAATTTTTTTTAATTCAATGTAAAAGTTGCAATTTATTATGTCTATTTAAAATTTAGAGTATTTGATTCAAACTTATCAAACATGTTATTACAATAATTACATTACATCTATTTCGATTTAATGTAGATTTAGAGAGCATGCACTTATTCTAACATAGATATGTCAAGAAAATAATGTGCTGTGTGTTATTACTATAAGAAATTCTTCACTCATCGTGTGGTAAGGCCATGTCAGTTGAATTAGAGACATTTATGCTACGTATATAACACACATATATACATGCACTATGCAGGCAGAGGGTAAAGGTTCTCTGTAATGAAAATTCAAACTCAACTGGGGATACAGTTGTCGTCAAATTTAATGCGTTTGTGAGGTTCCACCAAACAAACACAGTGGAAAGAGCGTGATGATGACAAAGGAGAAAATGACATGTCATGAGAGAGAGATACATGGGTAGGATTATAACCTGCTCCTCGTCTTATTGACTAGGCATTCAGTACTATTATACTACATCTGTTGCTTCTGCCCCTCTCATCCATAACTCCCTATCATAATAATCATTATCATTGTCGTTCCCCTCATGCAATGACAACAAGGTCCAGACTAATATAAATCCTCAGCAGTCACAATTTGTACTCATCCATTTAAATTATATTATTATAACATTAAATTTTATATAATTTAATGGGTACATTTAAAATTATACTCTTCTCGAGTGAATTTAATTCTAATTCAAGTATTATGGTTACTCTATTAAATACTTATGTTCATGTTTTTCTTTTTCAAACATTTAAAAAGTAATTTTAACTCGTACTGTTACTTCTAGTTCAGTTTCTAAAATGAAAGTCAAAATTATCCTTCATTTTTTTGTGAGGAATACATGACTCTTGCTGAATTTGGTTTGGCTCTTGCAATGAGATAATCTTAAGCCGAAAAGTTGCCGCAGTTTCCAAGTTAAAAAGGAGTAGATTGTTTTAATGAAGTTCGGCTAATATATCGAAATGAAATGATTTGTGACTCTAGCAGCTTCCAGCCATGACCACTGCCTACGAGTTTTTATGATAACTTTGAATGTCAAAAGAGGCAATTAAAGTGGACACAAGTATAGGCAGAAAAGCTAACAAAGGCTCTCTTTGCTAAAATAGTTTATAAAATTAAAAATTTATTTTTATATATAGTTGAATATATATTTATTAAACAATTCTATATTGACCAAATTAATAAATTACGAATTTTAAAATAAGTTATAAGTTTCTTTTATTGAATATCGTCTACTAAAACATGTTTTTTTTTTGTTTGTTACATCTATTAAACAAATGTTAGTTAATCAAGTGACGAGAAAAGGGAGGGAAACTGTGATAAAATAAAAAGAAAGGAAGAAATATATAAGTGGGCATTGCAAATATGAAGTAAAAAACAAAAGCTATAAAAAATGGGTCTGTGATGAAAGAAGATAATACAATTTGTTTTAGAAACAAGCGTGATGTGAACAACGGAACAAGGAAAAAGCATTGGGGAAAAGGGATGGGTGAGATGATTGGCACGAAATGTTAATTTGACCACAATACTATTGCTATTAGGCAGACAAGGCGACCAACTTTTACCATTCTCAGAAAAAGTTCTTCCTTTTATTTTGCTTTGCGTTGGTTTAAGTAAGCAAAAACAAATCATGAGAGCTAATTAAGATTTAAGAACCTTCAAAGCACAATGCAAGTGGACATGGATTTATATCTGTAGCCAATGAGTAGAGAGTAGAGTCCACGAAAAAGGATGCAATCGGGTCCACAGACGTGAGGTACCTTTAGAAAGAAGAGGTAGTTAATGGTTTGCGTCGAGATTAATTTCAAATTAAGATTAATATTTGCTCAATAATTATAAAATGTTAAATTACATACGATGTATAAGTTTTGCTATTTCATACGAATCATTAAATTTAAAACTTATTACTTTTTTCTTCAATTAATGTCTTATAGTAATCATTAATATTTTTAAAATGAAAAAGAAGGTTTTTTTAGTCCTAAATGCATTTATAACGTACTTGTTCTTTTATTCTTTGATAAAAGAAATATTAAAAGGATATTTTGATAGACTTTTATTGTTAAATTAATTGATCCAGAGTCCTATTACATACGAGTGAGTTAATTTCTTTATCAAGACTCAATGAAGTTAATTATGACGTGAGAAATGTGTTAAGTTTTATTTTCGCTAAAAGTATTGTCAAGATACTCTAATATGGTTTAGATACATTTTTTTCGCATTAGTTTTAAAAAATGTGTTAGACCTAATGTTTTAATATTATTTATTAATTATGCACAAAAAAATCAGAACTCCAGTAATTACTATTTGAATAATTGAATCCATGTTCTTAATTATCAATTATTTTATACATTTAACATTGGATTAGGTAATAGACTATTGAAAGAACAAAGTTAATTAGAAGAATATCTACCTACCTAACGTACGACCTAATATGAATCACTCTTTTACCTATTTTTAAATATTTATAATCTTTCAGGCTCTCATTATTTTATATTACTAATAATAATTATAGTTATTAAGCAAAATGATATATTAATTGAAAATGTCATGTATCAAAAATTAGTATTGTCAACCATTGCTGTAAATATTAAGAAATTAATAAATATTTTTTTTCTTGAAATTAATGTAGGTATGTATTGATAGCATTAGAAGTTATTTTTAAAAAAATTAATGAAAATTGTATTGAAAATAAATTAAAGAAAATGTTTAGTAAAATTGATTAAAAATTAAAATATAATTAATGGTGTTGATTTTACTACTCATTTATTTGTACGCTATTACCTTAAATGACTCGTAAAATAAAATTTTAAAAATATATTATTAGTAGTTTTTTAATAAAAAATTAATATTATTCAAAATTTTAAATTAATTAATTTCATTAAATAGATGATAACATAATTTAATATTTTTATATATCTTAATAAGAATTCTTCTATTTTCCCTTCGGCAATGGTCTTTGATGTGGAAATTTATTTGTTTTGTTTGGAATATGAGAATTTGGTGTAAAAGAAAAAGTCCCTTCGATGATAGTATAATTTTTAGTGTTTTCCCCTTTTGTATATGGAATAGTAAGGAAATAGAAAAGAAGAAATATATTTATGTGAGGTACATGTATATTCTTTCCACACTAAAAAGTGATGAGAAATTGAGAAAAAGGAAAGGAATGAATAAATTAGTTTTTTCATCCTTATTTTATGTCTTTTTTCTTGTTAAATGCAATAATATTTTTTTTTATTTAATGATATAGACTTTTTTATTAAAAAATTAATCTTTTAAAAACCAAATAAAGCGTTAATATACATTTTAACAAATGCTAACCAGTGTTTTGAGAATATGGTTTAAAAATTAAAATAATTTTTTAACAAAAAATATTATAATATTTAATAAATTTATTTGCTTATAATTTTTCAACCAATACCCTAAAATCACTTATGAGCAAGATAGTACCCTTTTTTGTTCCTTTTTGTAGCATCAAACAGAGGCTGAAAATGGCGATGCAGAGGAAGTGAAGAGGGCAGATATGTCATGCTTTTGGGATCATTGCAATAATTGAAGTGAAGCAGGCTTTAATGATAAGCTGCAACGAGAACATTGAGAAGAGAGAGGCTGTGTGAATTATTGGGTAGACCCTCTTCCAGAAAACCCATTATGTCATAAAGTTACCACCATGTAATAATTAAATATTTCTATTTTTATATTTTATGTTTATAATTTTCAATTATTCAATAATTTTATGTTTTTAAAATAATAATATTACAAAATAAAGCAAACTTCTTTACCCCAACCACAAAGCCATGAAACCAACTCTGCTCTTTTACTGTCTCAATTTTTTTTTTCACGTGTAAGTAAACAGAGGTAATAAAATGGGTCACATGCGTTATAAATTAGAAATATGAAGAAAAGAAAGGTAGATAATATGATTGAGAGAAATAGAAGAAAATATCGTTATAAATATATTGTGGCAAATTATAACCTGTTAAAAACACTTATTTAGTTCCATTAAAATATAAATTAATTAATTTAAAAAATAAAACTGAAATTTTATAAACATATAAGATGAAATACTAATTTTGCCTTTGCTATGTTTACGATACCAACCAGTCCACTGGTTTTACACGAAAGGAAATCATTAGTAATGATAACAGGCAGAGAGTTAATTATATCAACTTTTTAATACATCTTTAATCATTAATTAAAATTTATTAAAAATATAAAAAATAATAATTAAATTTTTAATAAAATTCACATTATTTTTAGAATTTTAATAAATTTTAGATAAAATTTGTATTTTTGTATTTATTTTTAAAATAAATTTTAATTTAATTTTTTATTTATTTTT